CCGTACGTTTCTGCCCAAGACGGCTCCAAGATGGCCTCCAAGATGGCCAAGATGGCCTCCAAGATGGTCCAAGATGGCCTCCAAGTCCGCCCAAGATGGTCCAAGACGGCCTCCAAGACGGCCCAAGAGAGTCCAAGACGGCCCCAGACGGGCCAAGAGGCCCCCCAGAGGCCTCCCAGACGGCCCAAGAGGCCTCCAAGCGGTCCTCCAGGAGGGCCCGAAGAGGCCAAAATCAGTGATTTGTCCATTGGTTTTTGAAGGATTTGGAATTTGCTTCTTCTCGGCATTCCGACGGCTCAAGACGGCCCAAGAGGCCCCCAAGATCGCCCAAGAGGCCCCCAAGAGGGCCCCATGACGGCCCAAGTGGCCTCCAAGATGGCCCCAAGAGGGCCCCAAGACGGCCCAAGAGGCCTCCAAGACGCCCAAGATGGCCTCCAAGACGCCCAAGATGGCCTCCAAGACGGCCCCGAAGCGCCCCAAGAGGGTCCCCCGTTGGCCCAGAAAGGCCCCCAAGACGGCTCCCGACGGCGTCAGACGTGCCAGGAGCCCACCAAGATGGCTGAAGTTGGCTCGATGCTGGCCCAAAAGGGCCCAAGAGGCCCCAAAGAGGGCCTCCAGGGAGGCCAGAATAGCCCAAAAAATATTAATTAGCCTGGCGAAGGACCCAACCATATGCAGTTGTGAATGCCGCAATTGTGCTGCGTGGTGGCGGACGCATGCGGGCGGTGCCACTGGGACCTTCGGTGGAGCTCCCTATGGGGCCACGAAACGCTGTACTGGGTGGGCGAGACGCGGTCAGCAAGGGCTGTGCTGCGTGGTGGCGGACGCATGCGAGCGGTGCCACTGGGACCTTCGGTGGAGCTCCCTATGGGGCCACGAAACGCTGTACTGGGTGGGTGAAACGCAGGCAGGGAGCAAGGGCTGTGCAGGGTGGTGGCGGACGCATGCGGGCGGTGCCGCTGGGACCTTTGGTGGAGCTCCCTATAGGGCTACGAAGCGCTGTTCTGGGTGGGTGAAGCGCAGGGAACAAGGGCTGTGCTGGGTGGTGGCGGACGCAAGCGGGCAGTGCCACTGGGACCTTTGGTGGAGCCCCCTATGGGGCCACGAAACGTGCGAGGGGTGTGCCAGAATGGGGGTGGAACCGCATGCGAGCGCAGCCACTGGGGCCTTCGGTGGAGCGCCCTATGGAGCCACGAAACGTGTGAGGGGTGTGCCGAAATGGGGGGTGGAACCGCATGCGAGCGCAGCCACTGCGGCGTTCGGTGGAGCTCCCTATGGGGCCACGAGACGTGTGAAGGGCGTGCCGAAAAAGGGAGTGGAACCGCATGCGAGCGCAGCCACTGGGGCCTTCGGTGGAGCTCCCTATGGGGCCACGAACCGTGTGAGGGGTGTGCCGAAATGGGGGGGGGAACCACATGCGAGCGCAGCCACTGGGGCGTTCGGTGGAGCTCCCCATGGAGCCACCCACGAAGCGTGTGAGGGGTGTGCCGAAATGGGGGGTGGAACCGCATGCGAGCGCAGCCACTGGGGCGTTCGGTGGAGCTCCCTATGGGGCCACGAAACGTGTGAGGGGTGTGCCAGAATGGGGGTGGAACCGCATGCGGGCGCAGCCACTGGGGCCTTCGGTGGAGCTCCCTATGGGGCCACGAAACGTGTGAGGGGTGTGCCAGAATGGGGGGTGGAACCGCATGCGGGCGCAGCCACTGGGGCCTTCGGTGGAGCTCCCTATGGGGCCACGAAACGTGTGAGGGGTGTGCCAGAATGGGGGGTGGAACCGCATGCGAGCGCAGCCACTGGGGCCTTCGGTGGAGCTCCCTATGGGGCCACGAAGCGTGTGAGGGGTGTGCCAGAATGGGGGGTGGAACCGCATGCGGGCGCAGCCACTGGGGCCTTCGGTGGAGCTCCCTATGGGGCCACGAAACGTGTGAGGGGTGTGCCAGAATGGGGGGTGGAACCGCATGCGGGCGCAGCCACTGGGGCCTTCGGTGGAGCTCCCTATGGGGCCACGAAACGTGTGAGGGGTGTGCCAGAATGGGGGGTGGAACCGCATGCGGGCGCAGCCACTGGGGCCTTCGGTGGAGCTCCCTATGGGGCCACGAAACGTGTGAGGGGTGTGCCAGAATTGGGGGTGGAACCGCATGCGGCGCAGCCACTGGGGCCTTCGGTGGAGCTCCCTATGGGGCCACGAAGCGTGTGAGGGGTGTGCCAGAATGGGGGGTGGAACCGCATGCGGGCGCAGCCACTGGGGCCTTCGGTGGAGCTCCCTATGGGGCCACGAAACGTGTGAGGGGTGTGCCAGAATGGGGGGTGGAACCGCATGCGGGCGCAGCCACTGGGGCCTTCGGTGGAGCTCCCTATGGGGCCACGAAACGTGTGAGGGGTGTGCCAGAATGGGTGTGGGAGGGGGAGGAGGGGGGAGGAGGGAGGGAGGAAGGAGGCGGGAACGCGGGGCACCGTCTCTTCAAAACGAGGACCCAACACCACAGGATGGTTGGGAATTGTCCTTAGGTTTTTGACGGATTTTGGGATCTCCTTCTTTTCGGCATTCCGACGGCCCGAGACGGCCCAAGAGCTCCCAAAGATCGCCGAAAGATCGCCCAAGAGGCTTCCAAGACGGCCAAGATGACCTTCAAGACGCCCACGTGTTCCCCGACGGCTTTCCACACCGATTCGGGGAACACTCCAAGATGGCCTCCAAGATTGCCAAGATGGCCCAAGATGGCCTCCAAGATGGTCCAAGATGGCCTCCAAGTCCGCCCAAGATGGTCCAAGGCGGCCTCCAAGACGGCCCAAGAGAGTCCAAGACGGCCCAAGACGGCCCAAGAGGCCCCCCAGAGGCCTCCCAGACGGCCCACAAGGCCTCCAAGAGGTCTTCCAGGAGGGCCCGAAGAGGCCAAATTCACTGATTTTCCATTGGCTTTGGAAGGATTTGGGGATTCGCTTCTTCTGGGCATTCCGACGGCTCAAGACGGCCCAAGAGATCCCCAAGATCGCCCAAGAGGCCCCCAAGTGGGCCCCATGACGGCCCAAGTGGCCTCCAAGATGGCCCCAAGAGGGCCCCAAGACGGCCCAAGAGGCCTCCAACACGCCCAAGATGGCCTCCTCCAAGACGCCCAAGATGGCCTCCAAGACGGCCCCGAAGCGCCCCAAGAGGGTCCCCCGTTGGCCCAGAAAGGCCCCCAAGACGGCTCCCGACGGCGTCAGACGTGCCAGGAACCCACCAAGATGGCTGAAGTTGGCTCGAAGCTGGCCCAGAAGGGCCGAATTGGTCCCAAAGAGGGCCTCCAGGGAGGCCAGAAGAGGCCCAAAACACTGATTTTCCTTAGGTCTGTTTTAAACGGATTTTGACATTTCCTTCTTTTCGGCCTTCCGACGGCCCGAGACGGCCCAAGAGCCCCCAAAGATCGCCGAAAGATCGCCCAAGAGGCCTCCAAGACGGCCAAGATGACCTTCAAGATGCCCACGTGTTCCCCGAAGGCTTTCCAAACCGATTCGGGGAACACATGGTCCGATGGCTTGGCAGGTCTGGCCTCAGCGTTAGGCCACATAGGCGCTTCCACAAAGGCAGGGGGCGGCGGTGATTCGCCGTAGGCGTCTTCGATACGCCGCGACCTGTTGGCTTGCCACAGGGGTGCCTGGTGTGCTGAATTTCTTGCGGTTTTTGGCTTGGGTATTTTTCCAAGCGGCTTCCCCCTGGTGGAGTTATTTTGGAAAAAAGTTTCCAGAGCGGCTGTGGGGAACGCGCAGTCCGATGGCTTGACCAAGCAGGGGCCCGACCCAACGTTTACAGTCGGCCCGTATCAGAAAGATGCGCGATATGGATGCTAGGGCCTTGAACGCCCAGTCCGAAGTTTCTCAGGCGGGGCGCGGACGACGAAAGTGGCGAAGGATGGACCGAAGAGGCAAAGATGCAAGGGCACCCTCGGGAAGGCTGCCCATCAGCCGCAGAGGCGCTCCCCGAAAGGCAGGGTGCTGGAGTGACTCGCCGCAGGCGTCTTCGAGAACGTCTTTTGGCTCGCCGAGTGCACAAAACGGTGCCGCGGCGAAGAACTGCCCCCGTGCAGGGCACGGGCCGGGCGCTCTATCGGTGCCTGGACGGGAGCCTCTGCGGTGCGGCCCTCCCCGCCCGTCCCCGGTGTGCTCGAGGGGTTCTCTCTCTCCCGGGCGCCCTCGCTGGCTCCCTGGAGGTCCTCTCCGGCCTCCGGGTGCCTTCCAGCAGCGGGGCCTCGCCGAGGGGGGCGCGCGGGCGGGCCCTCGGGCGTCCTCGGTGCTCCCAGCGTCTGGGTGCCCGTCGTCGGGCGCACGCGAGGGTGGCCCCGGGCAAAAGTGGCCCATGGTGCGCGACATTACGGGGGACGCGAGGTGGCCAGGTCCAGGCGCGCAAGCCGCTGCTACCGCCTCGCGCTCAGCGATCGGGGGAGCCCATGGAGGCCGCACCAAAGGTCCCTCCGGCGAAAAGTCACTCCAACGTGTAGCCGATTCCAGCAGCTGCGCCTCGCCGACGGGGGTGCCTGGATCAGCCCAGACGGCCGCCGGGGACCCGATCGAGCAGTGACCCGACAAGCAAGCCACGTCTCGATGCCCAGCAAAGTTCACGACGTGAGATTCTTGGCGCTTTTCGGCCTCCAGGGGGCCTCACCGGTCCCCAGCGCCGTCACAAGACTCGGGGACCTACTGATTCGGGTCAATCCATATCTGAGTCAGTCAGGCCCTGCAGGGCCCTGCATGATCCTGCAGGATCCTGCGCCCAAGCCCGGGTCAGTGCGCCCATGGCCCTGCGGGATCCTGCAGACTCTGGCGCTCCGCTTGGCCCCCGTTTGCATTGACCCCCCGTCTCTGGAGCCCCGAGAGACGGCTCGGGATGAAGAGCCGGTCCCCAGGAAGGGAGCTATAGCTCCGCGGAACCACGCTGTGAAGACGCGCCGCGCGGGGTGGAGGAGGAGGAGGAGCGAGCGTCCCTGGCGATGGTCAATCCCCGCCTAGGGCCGCCGCGGGCGGGCCTGCACCGAGCCTCTCAGGCTCAAGTTGAAGTAGTTCAGGGCGCCATTGGCGTCGGCAAGGAGGCCGACCGAGCTGTCGGACGCGCTGTCGATCGGCTCGGAGTGGCTCGGGGCGAGGTCGGGGAGGTCGTCCCCGGCGGACTCGACGGTCGCGATGGCGACCCCGTCGTAGTTCAGCATGCCGCCGACGTCGCTGTCCACGGGGTCGACGTCGAGAAGGGCAGCAGCAGGTGCAGCGTCGTCGGCATCGCCGAGCACCTCGCAAGACACGGGGTCGAGGTGCGCGCGGCATGGGAAGGCGCCCTCGCGTGCAACGGAGGGACCAGCAGGACCGCTGGCGTTGGCGGGGAGGTCGACCATGATGTCGTCGTCGCTGGCGAGCAGGACTGGGAAGCTCAGGTGGAGCGCGCGAGGGACAGTGCCATCGGCCACGTGACCCGAGGCGGCGCCATCGTCGCCGTGCGCCAAGCCCCCAAAACCATCGTCTTCACGGTCAGCTGGGTCGAAGCCGGGGAAGGCCGCGCGAGGAGAGGCAACGGCGACCGCGACCGCTGCATCCAGCGCAGCGGGTTCGAAGGGCGCGCAGTCTGGGAAGGCGCCTTCACCCGTAGCCGAAGAACCAGCAAGATCATAAGATCATCAGCAGGAGGAGGAGGAGCACCCACCTGAATCGACGCGTCAATATGCGCATGGTGGACGGGAGTGGGGCCATTCTCGCCCCCAGGGCTGATCAGCATCATGTCATCGTCCCCGCCGAGAGCAAGGGAGGCAGTGCCCGCGTCCAACGGGGCCAGAGGACTATGTTCAGGAATAAGATCTCGTTCTGTACCATGTGGTAACTCTTCACGTGCAACGTCGAGACGAGTCCCGACGGCCCCCGAGGCTCGGGAACCCGGAACCTTGGTGACCGCCGGGAACTCGCACCTCAGGGAAACAGGGCGGTGTAGCATCCATCGAACCATCTTCCGTCTATCCGCCGGAAATACAGGGTACAGAATATACAAGGACCGCATCGCATACTCGATCTGCCGTTGGGTGATCTCGTCATGAAGCGGAGGAGTCCACACAGATGCTGGAGCCAACGCAGCCGCCGCCCTTGGGGTAGAAGCGGTTGAGGCCGTCGAGGTCGGGCGCGGATCAATTTGCTGAGCAAGGGTTTCGAGGGCAAGTTGAAGAGCGAGCGAGGTGTGTGGCAACAAACCAGACATCACGTCAAAGGCCGCATACTGATTTCCCATCTGATGATCCTGATATACGCCAGGCGGAATGTATGGAGCGGGCTCTCGATGTAGCAGTGGTTCCTCCACAGATCCATCCCCTTCACCAAGCGGCACAGGGCCAGATTCCTGATGATCAGGTGGAGGACGGTCCACCGGCGGAACACCAAGCACGCGTGGCTCCTGGGGATCTTCAGCCGATTCATCAAGTTCTGACGGAGGACGGTCCACAGGTGGATGGCCCAGAGCAGGCGGTGCTTCGTGAGCAAGAAGAGCGCATCCCCCACGGAGCCGCCAGGGTCGATGACGCCGAACCCGCGTGCAACCATCGTCGCGTCAAAGTCGTCAGCAGTACTCGATGACCCACTCGAGGAGCTGCTCGTGCTCGGTGTCGTCGGAGCAGCAGGTGCCGCAGGTCGAGGGGCACCTCTCGAGGAGCTAGCCGTAGGGTCGCGAGCCATGTCATCATCGGAATCTTCACGTGGGCGCCGAAGATCACGTTGCAGTTGATGTTCAAATTCAGCATCGTTGAGAGTCGGCCCATGATGGTGTGCGAGCTCGTCGGTTTGCATCGCGATGTCTGGGTCGGATCCGAAGGGCCGTTGCCGTCACCCTCGCCCGTCGCCATAAGCTCGAGAGGTCCAGGGCGGAAGCGTTCGGCGCTCCATCGTGGTCAATGCTGGCGTTAACCTCATCAGGAGGCGGCTCGCTCAGAGCGCGTGTCCCGAACGACTGGTCAGCGAGCAAGTGCGGGAGAAGGTAGACGCGCGGCAGAGCCGCAGGCTGCGTGATCGAAGGTGCCGCCGTAAACAGTAGCATGTACTCGTCGCGGTTGGCCGCGGACATGCGGGTCGGATCGGCGCGCCACCCGAGCTTCTTCATATGTGAGAGGGCCAAGTGGCGAAGGCGCCGATACCGCTTCTCATCCTGCGCTGGCCAAGGGTCCAGAATGGAACGTCGTAGTTGTTCCCGTGCTATGGCGCTGCCGTACCACCCGCTGAGACACCAGTCAAGGGCGAGCTGCCGCCTGCTCATACCACCTTCGCATTGATGTTGTAGGTCATCGTACCTGAGCACGTTCTCCACGTAGTCGGGGCACCAACGCATCCATTGATCGAAGTCAGAGCGGCTCAGGTTCACCAGCAGCGAGGGAATCCACGAACGGGCCCAGGCCTCAATCCTGTCCAAGAGCGCCTGACGACGAGCGGCAAGCGGAAGGCCCGTCGCCTCGGCTGCAGGGGCGAAGGATTCAAAGAGCGCAGGAAGACCCTCATCATGAATCGCTGCCGCAAGAGGGGCCTCGCCATCGATCACTGCCCTGCTCACGCTCGTCGAAATGGTCGCGCAGCCCAGGATAGCATTCAGGGCGCCTCGGTGCTGGCATCAGAGACGGCAGCGAAGGAGTCGATGTGCTCGTCGAAGTAGTATATGTAGGGCTGGCAATGTCCCCATGGGACACAGCCAGAGGCTGAAAGAGAAAGCCCAGAGCGAGGGCGATCATGGGTGGTAAGTCGATGGGTAACCCAGCTTGAGCCGTGATACCTGGCGGATGCAGCAGAAAGCAAACCGGTGGTGACGGGCATCGGGAAGATGATCGCCAGGCCTCTCCATCTTGAGACTCGAAATCCAAACTCTTCCCACGCATCGCAACAGAAGATCCAAAGACAGTAGCAGAGCAGGCAGGAGGCACCCCCGACACTGTCGTAGCAGCGGCAATTTGAATAGACGATGGCGCTGACGGTCTGCAGCGTGAGGATGGCAGAGATGATCTCGGAGATGGGGGCGAAGAAGGCGAGCTTCCAGCAAGGTCGAAGGCGTCCGCAACGAGGTTGGCGGCAGGCGTCGATGACGAGGAGCAGGGCGCATCGCGCGGCGGCGAAGAGGACGACCCAGAAGAAGACGATGAAGGCGAAGAAGAGGAGGAGGAGGAGAGCTGGGATACCCATTCCTCCTGTCACGGCGAGCACGTCCAGCGCGCCTTGCTCCCAGGGGTGCTCGCGAGGAGGCGGTAGCTCCCAGCTGTGCAGTGCGGATGGCCGCCGTGACAAATGAGCGCGCCGCCTCGCGATGCCATGCATGAGCAGAAGACGTGTGAGCCGCACAGACATAGGTGTCGTACATCGCCACGATGTCGAAGATGATCTTGTCAAGCTCGACCGCCGAGCCCAGAAGGTCAAGACGCCCCAGTGGCGAGGTGGGTCGAGAGTAGCCAAGTTCCTGTTCAAGAAGAAGGCGAAAAGGCTGGCACCGCAGGTAGTGGCGAACAGCATCAGGCTCGAGTGGGCAACCAAATCGGCGAGAGAGGCGCCCGTGCGGTTGAAGCATCCTGTGCGAAGTCGCCCAGCCATTGGCCACAGTCTTGAGATAGGCGAACGCCCAAGGCATCGAGCATCCACGAAGGTACTGAACAATGTGCTCCCGTCGATGTGCTGGAACAAGAGAATCGCCCTTCATGCGCATCTCAGGAAAGCGAAGGGTGAGCCGAGTCTCGAAGCAATTCCACAGTGGATGGGGGCATAGACGCTTCTTGATCATATTGGTGACGCATCTTTGTAGTCCCACCGGCAGTGACTCCTCTGCTTGCCAACGGTCAGCCTCCGCATCGGCTGAAGCAAGATGTGCGCGCGAATAATCAGGAAACGTGCTGGACGCGGTGCTGTTCCGAACTCTCTGGCCAATGTCTCCACGAAAGCTTCTGAACTCCAGAAATGCGGGCACGGGCGCCGCGCATCAGCAACAGTTTGGGAAAGCACTCGAAGGTCACCTAGCCGAAGGTGTTGGCGGTACATCCAGTCATGCAGCCGTTGAAATTCAGGTAGCGTAGAGCGGGCTGTCCTTGCCAGCGCCTCAATGCTCATGGCGAGCCAGGAGGGGACGGATGGGCCACCAGCACCGCGGAGTTGAAGCCATGCCGTGATGTTGAAGTTGTCGAGGGGGATCCTGAACGTCCTGGAGAGGGCGACCAACTCCTCGCGGAGGAGCCGCCGAGGCATCACGCGGAACTGAGCGACGTAGGAGAGCACAGGCGCGATTCTGGTAGTGTAGCTGCAGCCGCGAAACCGCAAGAGGACTCCCACCAACCAATATTGATCTCAGTTTGACCCCTAATAGACGGCGCCAACCAGCACGAGCTCTCGTCCGCCGATGCCGTCAGCGCACGCACGGGCAAGACCGAGACGCGCACCTTCCAGCCGACTCAGAAGATCAAGAAGAAAGCATGCCGCCACGGCTGCATGTATCGATCCACTGAGCGAGCAGCCTTGGATGATGCCAGAAGAGATACGCCATGCAAAGGTAGGGGGGCCATTCTTCATGACGGTGGCGTCTACGACGTGGCAGCGCCGCTCCAGGATAGCCATGAACGCGAAGGGGGCCTGCATTGCTGAAAGACCATCAGCATGAGGAACTGCGCCAGGCTCGGGAAGGCCGCGCCGGAGTCCAGCGCAACGAGAGCGGGAAGGTCTGAACGCGCCGTTGGAGAGTTGGAACACGTACGAGCGGCGGCGTCGAGCTCGGGCATGTCGACCCCGAAGTTTCTCTTGGGGAGAAAGCCTCTCCACGAATGATGGGGCCCAGTCCATAAGGAGCTTGCTAAACTGGATGTCGGCTGTGGCGGCGATCAGCTTGATGTCAGCGCGTCGCAGGCCCAGAACTCTCACCGCGCCAGGGGAGCGAGCACAGCAACGCAGGTGACGGAGGTTCAACTTTGGAGAAGTCCAAGCGCGGCACGTGCTGCTCGATGTAGGATTGGGCTCGGCTGAGATCGATAGGCTCGGCAATGAA